GCTTTCGGCCCTGTCTTTGTCCTGGCCAGAGCTTTACGGTTTACTACTTTTGAGCTTACAATTTTATTTTATTTTCCTTTCACATCTGTATGTGTGCATGCAGCATTTATGACATTCAGTAACCGAATAAGTTCCTTTCATTCTCGTAAGTTATTTCTACGATAGGGAAATTAATATTGCATGTATTTTAAATTTTCCAAGTAAATGGCAAAGAATCAAAATGAAAAGGTTGGCCGGCTGAATGTAATACTACCCCCACAACTTTTCTCAACCATTAATTTTTGGCAAAAGGTGGCACTAGGACTTGGATATTGAAAATATCAAATTTAAATGAAAATGTACCATTTCAAAGCTGTTTGTGAGTTACTTTGGGCTACAAATGTTGGTTTATTTTGAGGCTATCTTGCAGGTTCTGAAAGTGAATTTCGATAACCCAAAATCACAGGGAATTATCTTGGACACTCCCTTTTTCTTAGGTTTCTAATAAAAATTTCCGAAATAAATTCTTTTGTGAAATTAAAAACCGGATCTTGCCTAAATGTGTTTGAAAATTAAAAACTATTAAGAATGTGATATTTTATTTTATTGTTCTTGCATAAAATAAAGTTTCACCTGCAAGGTAAACACCTGGAAGTTTGTTTATTTAAATTTTAGGACTTTAAAGTAATTCTTAAATTTTCTTTTGCAATTTATGGAAAATAGTCTGTGCTATAGTGGAGCATTTTATGTTGCTAATAATTTAATGCTGTCGAAACACTTTTGTTTGCATTTATGAGCGAGCTCGACGTTGTCAAATATTTGCATATGATAAGTAGCAGATACTGCAGCCCAACTACCTTAACAACACAAGCAACTTGTTGGGTTTTTTGTCAAGGATGTCATGTAGCGTTTTTTCTCCTCGGTTGCTACACTCTTCAGTTTATTCCGAGGGCTCCGAGCCACTCTCATCTATCAAGAATCTCTGCCGGCTGACAACTGCGACCAACCACTTGAAAAGCCGAAAAAAAAACCGCTCTACACACAAAAATGGGAAAAAACGAGGACAGGACTGGTTAGGAGATTCCGTGTGCCACCTTATCAGAGACTCGGTCGCGATTTGCATTTGCATTTGTGCTGATGTTGTTGCTGGTCTTGTTGCTGGTTTTGTTTGGGAGTGTTGCTGCTCTTCGTGTCGTTGTTGGTGGTGTATCCTTGTTGGGGTTATGTAGGCGCGCCCGTTGCCGAAATGCGGATTAAAAGGAATTAAGTATACGCAGCGTGTACGTAGGTAGGTGGCTGGTTAGGTAGTTCGAGGAGGGCAACACATGTTTAAATTATGCTCAAAATTTGTTTAAAGCGAATGGGGTTGTGGAGGGTTCGCTGGCTGTGTTTATGTTACTTGCCTGTAACTGATAAGCGGGCCAAGTCGCGGCGAGTATTTGGCTTAGTAGGGGGCTTGGGGTGGGAAAAGGTAAGCTATGCGGATAATATGCTTGGGTCTTGACTTAAATCGATGCTAATTTTCGGTTTAATTCAATGGTTTTGTTTACATCTGTTAAAACAACACCAACGCTCCGCCGTGTGTGCGTATGTGTGCGTCGGTGTAATGACATTTTGGCTTTTGTTGTTGCCAGTCACCCATCCTGCCAGCCAGCCTGTGTAAATAATGTCGTTATTATTTTGCTTGATATCCATACTCGCAGCCTGTAATAAAAAAAAGGAAAAATGGAAGGGAAACAAAACCACAACAAGCAGCAGGTGTTGAAAATTTCACAATATGATTATCTACATTTTTTTGCCTTCTCGGAAGAGCTCCTTTTTTCACTCATTACACATACATATATCCTTTTTCAGTTGCCACTGCTGGCTGTCTGGTTGAGTGTGAATTTTTGATGAAATTATGCGTGTGTGCCGAGTTAGGCGTAGCGTAAATAATGTGGACTTATCAGTTAAAAACATTGGCCCAGGCCAGCCCAGAGCACGCCCGGCGAGGCGTTATACCCAAAAACATTAGCCGGGAGTTGTTGAAATGGAATTGAAGTGCATACGAGTATCTTTTCAGGGGATTTTGGTTTAAAAGAGGTGCTCATTTTTGGGTGAATGACACTGACACACTGGAAAGAGTGTATAAAGTAATATTAATTATCCTTAAAGTTAAACAATAAGGCTTGAGTAACTGCATGCCATCCATTGCCTTGAGTTTCCTTAAACAAAATAGTAACAACCCTGGGAATTCATTGAGGCATAATAACAAAGTCAATGAACACCTTGATGACAGTTAACAGAAACCGTAGATGGCCAAAAGGACACCAACACACACACACACATATTACCAACAACAACATGGCTTGGCACAAAAGAAAAGGCACAAAAAGATGGCGCAAATTACAGACAAGCTTATTACGCAAAATTTCGCTTAATTAGCAGGCAAAAGGGAACTGAACAGAATAGAACAAAAACGGAACGGGAAAGCAGAAAAGTAGGCAACAGTTGCCCACGAAGCCACCAGAAAGAGACAAAAGCTGCTTGGTAAAAGAGAGAGCTGGTGGTATAGTGGGTGGAAGGAGGGAGACTAAGGTTCGTGGCGGGAAAAACTACTTATACATCCGAACACATGGGGGCAGACTTATGGCACCTTTGCCAGGCAAAGCATAATATATGAACTGACCTTAACAAGTTGCACAGGAGAAACAACAACAACAAAAACAAGAACAACCTAAGAAACAACAACAAGCGTCAAGAGGAAGAAGCAACATGTAAGCCAAAGGCAAAAAGGAGGGGGCAGTAGGAGGAGGGCTAAAAGGGGCATGGTCTGAAATTTACTTGGGCAACAGAATATTAAATGCCGCGTGGGAATTCTCGCCGTTTATGGTTGCAACTGAAATAGGCCAGTAGCCAGTGAGAAAGAGAAGGGGCAAAAGGGCAAAGCGAGATAGAGAGAGAGTGATAGCGAGGAGCGCGCCCAGTTACGCTTCAGTAATTTCACTTAAGTCATTATGAGCCATTAATAAAGCCAGCCTGTGCACTAGTTGAGCTACCGTATTATACATGCTAGCCGGCCATAAATATATGTATTCCACTCTATATATGTATCTGTCTGGGCCAGTTCATTTCACACATCAAAAATCCGGCAAGAGGCATTCCCCAAAGGCATCACAATAATATATATTTCTCTTCCGTGTGTGTTAATAAAAATAATAAGACAAGTCCTTAGGGAATATTAATCAACTTAGTTAGAGTACGACTTCTTAAATTTTTGATTTTAAAAACTTGGAGAAATCCTTGTTGTTAGGGCCTTGACATCCTTGATATTCTGCATTGTACTTTGGCCTCTCGTTGGCACACTATTTTTATTATTCAGTAGCTCAGACAAACAAACATATTTGTTGATTCTTCTCTGGGTTGTTTGCTGTTTTTTGCTCCGGTGTCGGGGCCATGGGATTGTGGATTGGAAAAGTTGGACGAGCATTGGAAACTACGATATGGCTTCAATTTTCGAGAGCCGATTTTTGTTTGGCTATTGAAGTGCATTTTTATTTTGCAATTTATCAGCTGCAAAAGCAAGCGCAGAAGCTCGAGTGCATTGAGATTTGTGCTCGTGTTTGGGATATTTAATTAATTTGAAAAATATAAATCCATCTGAAACGAAAATACCATCCGACTATAGTTCAGAGCGATAAGAGTCTATGGTTGTGTTATTTTTTATGTATTCCACATTGAAGTGTTGGATTTTAATATTTATTTTCTTTGTTTGTATTTTCAATGAGCTGTTAACGTATTCCCCCAAATGGCAAGTCAAATTTAAAAAATGTATAGCCATCATTGAATAATTAAAGACCGTTGAGAAGTGGTTTATGAATTTCCAACCCCTATTCAGGGCCCCGACTTTCCCTACATTTTGTTGGAAAGATTAAAGATAGGCAGCCAGTAGCCCGGATAAGTGTCCGAGTTTCTCCCTCTTTTGGTTCTTTTTCCAAGAAATAAGTAAGTACATCCCAATGGGATTATAAGTTATTTAAATATGTTTCGTTGACGGTCAATAACTTTTGATACTGTCTGCGAGTTAGTCGCAAATCTCGCTCGATTCATTTCCTATTACTCAAATATTTCTGCCCAACATACATAAACTTTTTCTAATTCATCTCATTGCGCTGGCACTCTGGCTAAGTCGAAAACTTCCTGAATCTTTTCTTGTTTTTGTTCTCCCTGCTGCTGCTGCTGGGTGATGAAGTTTTTCTTCTAGTTTTTCCATCTCACACCCGCAGCTCAACAAATACTTTTACTTTCATAACCAAAAGCCTAACACTTGAGACAATGCCAACAGAGCAACAACAAACACTTCGAATAAGTTTGCTGTTGACTGGAGCACGCTCTTAAATAGTATCTGTGAAGTATAGTATCTGGGTCTTCGAATGGTTCTCATACGACTCTTATAGGGCCACTTATACGTCTACTATTTGTTGACCGTCGAAGATTTTAGAAGAAGAAACACTCTTCGAAAACATATTCAGCTATGAAAGTAGGCCTTATAAGAGTGCGTCTGCACAAATAGTAGAGTCGCAGGGAGCTCAGGCGCCGAAGCAAGGATGCTGCGAGAGGACATCCGAGCTCATCCGAAGGATACGTGACACGAAGGCAATGTTCTAAAGATACGAGTCCGCTCTGCAGCAATCAAAATGGTTTTAGATACAAAGGGAATGTACATAGGAAAAATGTGATGAAATAAATACCATTTTAAAAGTAAATACGGTCTAGCAAAGAGCTAAAACTAATTAAATATTTTCTTATAAAATCATTTTATAAGAAAGTATAAATCATATTCCTATTCAGAGACATATAAGATGCCTTAGCTGGGAACCCAACCACAGAAAAGCCAGTAAAAGTATCTTTTTCTTCGTATAAGTTGCGTTTAAGACCATCCAAGTTTGAGTTTGCTTCAAACGCGCTTCAGGTTGGAACGTATCCGCCAGATACAAGTGTTGCCGCAAGATTCAGATACCCTGCGTTTAGTCTTTCTCGGTCTGCGCTCGGTCTATGTCTGTGTCGCTCTGCGGAGGCGTTCAACTCCGAAAGATACAACTCGAAGATACGTCGAACAAATAACAAATAATTCGAATTCAATAACAAGAAACAAATGCACATTTATTAGCGATTGCCCAACGACTGAATGGAATATTAACTATAGTAGTAGTGCCAAGTGTGAAAAGTGCTCGAAATGTCCAACGAAATGAGTTGCCAACTGCGGCCAAGCCTAGAACTGGCCAAGGCTTGTTGTTAGAGAAAAACATAGTAAAAAATAGTAAAAAGATACAAAACATAAACACGTATCGACAACTGTAAACAAGCTAGATAGAGAGAGTGTGTGAGTGAGTGTCGCAATCCAACAGCAAATTACAACCATCAGGCTACAAAGGCAACCTACAAGATGCAGTTTTGGATAACTCTGACATTTGCTTTGCTCTTGGGTAAGTTATCGCGGCATGAAGGTCCAAAAAATTGAAAACATATGAACCGCAGAATGTATCTCATAGATGCGAGAGTGCTTTATGGTGTGTTGTTATTGTGTTGACCGCTTGCAAAATGTCTGCGGTGGTGTCTGAGGCAAAAGTTCACGACATTTTCCACACAGCCAGCAAACACAAAAAAAAAATATTGAAAAAAAATGAAGATGAGTTCCAGACTCTCCGTCGCAGTGGCAGTCGTATCTTTCCATATGAATTGTGGCTTAGTCGATCGGGTTTGGGGCACGGGGGCTGGCAGATATTCCTTTGTCTGACACTGCCACTGCTTACTGTTTGCCGGTTTTTCCAGCGATTTTTAGTTTGTTTGCCGTTGACATTTAAACACTTGTTTTTTGCTTACCCAGTCAACATGGTCTGAAGCGGAGCTACCACTACTGCCACTGGTGGTGCGGCTGCTGCTGTGGTTTTTTTGCCTGACAACAAATAGATATAGAAAATAATTTCTTGCCACAGAGCCAAGTGTTGCTTTAACACACGCTTTAGCCCTCATGCCACACAGCCTTCCTTTTCCCAACCTTTTTTACATGCAAAAGTTTTTCGTATAAATTTTTTCACAGTTTCAGTTATTTTCCTCAACAATTTTTGCAGCCTCAACTTTTATTTTTTCCGCCTCGACTTTGGCTGCTGTTTATTTGATTTATGCGACATAATTCAGGCGAACTTTGTGGCACACATAATTTAATTTTTGCCATCACTTCGGAGGAGAGTTAGTAGCGTAGCTCTTGCCCCAAAATTGAGGACAGAGCTCGCTCGGTTGGACCGAGCTGGAGGTGCACCGGCACCTTAACTGACAGACATTGTTGCCGTGTCGCTTTTTAATTATTTTTTCCTCCACTTTGTAGATGACAAAGTTGGCGCTTTTGTCTCGTATAGTTGGAGTTTTATTGTCGGCATTTGTTCATCTGTTAATTGAAAACTATTTGCATATCAAATTTGTACGGCGCTCTGAAAAGTTCTTTTTTAAATTCGTGCACAAGTCCCAGTGCTAATTGTGGGGCGTTAAAGTTGATGTTGCATTTAAAACTTGTATCACTGTTTTGGGGCATTTAGCCGACACGACTCTTTTGTTTGATTTTCCTTAATGCCACATGACGAATTTATTAGTGACCATGGAAAAATGTATCAATTAACACATTCGGAAGGGAGGGAGCTATGATTTTGGGAGGGAGAGTCTGGAAAACTAACGCACTAATGGGACATTTTTATTCTTGGAAAATTCTCATAAAAATGTATGTATATTTTTTGCTTGCCAAAATATGAGAAGATTCCCAGAACTCAGCCACTTACAGAAACATTAGCTGTCTGACCAAAACGAGTAGACGATGAAAATGAGCTGGCTGACAGGTTGGCAATATCATTACTAGACTCTACTGACGGATATTTCAGTGGCGCACGCCCAGCAGCTGCCTTTTAATAAATACATATACCAAAATACCCACAAGATGTAAAGGTGTACCATTTGCACGCGTCGAAAATTAATACAAGCCAAGCTGCAAAAGGCAAAACCGGCAGGGCAAAAAATATATAAGAAATATACACAAAAACCGCCAAGAAACCACCAGAGCCCAGGGGAAGTTGGGAAGTCAAGCTGCCAAAAGACGAAATACAAAATACACCTGCCATGGCACACTCTGAAAATTCTCATTCAACATGTGTAGCCCTACAAGAGGGGGCCGGGGGCCCAGAACCAACAAAATTAGTTTATATACCGGTAAGGGTACATAAAGAAACTCTTTTTATTCGGTTGTGCTTCTTTTTGTGGCACAACTAGAGAAAATTGAGGATGTGGTCTGGCGCTGGATGAGAGACTGAATACCGAGTGGAATTCACAAATCTCTTTTACCCACATAAAACATGGCTCTTACTTTGGCATTAGGCTTGGGCATTAGACCCCCCCTGATATATATTCGTCCATTTTCTGGAACTGGAGCTCAGCTCGCACTGGCACACTGTCAGCTTTATAATCCGCAAACGATTTACGTAGGCAAATTGAATTAAAGCTGCTAAAACCTCGGCAAACAGTGTGGACTTAAAACCCGATTTGGCTTACTGCCGTGGCTCAAAATGTGTTAGCACACAACTTTTCAGCATAAATCCTTCTCGCAGTAGTGCCACAACCTGGTAATAGCCAGTGCATTGAACTAACAGCATAAGCCCGGGCTAATCGGTTGCCCAACTTAGCTTCTGCTTCTGCTGCTGCTGCTGCCGGACTACTTAGCCACTTGCTCTGATTAAAAAAAGCCAGCAAAAAACCAAGCAGACATAGAGGTAGGAGTTGAAAAAAAGCACTGAAAAATGAGTGCAAATTATATGACGAACAGGTTATGAGGTTGAGCCGGGCTGGGTTGCGTACCGGAGAGCTCTAAGCCATAAAGAGCAAATGATGTTGGTACTAGCACTAGCCTACATACGGCATATAGCTCTTCAAGTTGCTAACTGACCGCATTTGCTTTTGGCCAAGCAGAACAGCCTGATGTGATGTATGTGCTCCAGTTGGATAGGGTCCAAAGGCATCCTTAAGACCAAGTGCTTGGCCCATCACGAAAGGATTCCCTCTTCTGGTTATTCACTTTTGTGGTTAGAGATCTGAAATATCTTTCTTAAAATCTCCTTTAATCATTTTTTTTCTCCTCTGCATTCAGATTATTCATGCTGAAATTACAGCTTCAGTCTTATTGCTGTTTTATTTATTCTACTCCCCATCTAATCATCCAATGCTGCCGCTCGAGCACCTACAAAAAGCAGCATTTTTGCTACCTCATGTCCACAACTTTTTCCCAAGCAAATACACATTCCTGGCCCGGGATGGGTATATCCATCAGCAGCCTGCATCTGCATCGGAAAGTGCCGCATAATTACAACCCCTGGTGTTGCTCGTGTTGCTCGTCGTGGTGGCTGTTACCTTCCATTCATTTGTGAGAAGTCCCCATTGGTGATGTGATCACAAAGTTGCGACCCCAACCGGCACAAAATGCTGGTCATTTGTTTTTATGTAAATATATTAAATGCGTTGCCATCTTGCTGTAGCTGTTGCTGTTGCTGTTGGCATAGCTGATGTTGCTGTAGTTCCTGTTGTTATGTTGGCTTATTCACATTTCCCATCTCCTGTAAGAGAAGTAGTATTTATACCTTCAGTTGGTGTAAACATTTCTATTTGGGCTTTAATTTTTGCTTTGTTGTCTTGCCTGCCTGCTTTTGGTCAAAAAGCGCAAAACATGTTCCTTATTATTTGGCTTTTTTTGCAAACTCACTTCCGCCAGAAAACCGAAAATGAGCAAAATTGCTAGCAACTTCTTTGCCTTTTCAACGTTTGCCAGAGACCATTTTCTTTTGTGCAGTAAAAATAAATAACAGTTTATGAAAATTTGCCAAAAAATATGAAAACAGTGAACAAGAACAAAGTGGAGTGACTTTTCCTGTTTTTGGCGCTGCCTGAGAGCCATTGTAACAAGAAAAAGACCGAAAAAAAATACATATAAATAAATATGAAAAAAGCTAAAAAAGAAAATAAGCTAAAAAGCTATGAAGCTGCCCATTTAGAAGGCGTTGACACTCTCCCCGCAAAATTTGTTCCCAAAGACCGGTGGAAATTTGTGCTAACGAGTTGCTGCCGTTGTTGTTTGCTTAACTCAAACGGAGCGACGAGATGAATCCCCGGATTCCGGACACGGGAGTATGGGAGCACCGGGTGTATGGACTCTGGAATGGGGGCGCTTCAATAGGCCCATGTGATGAGATGAGTGGAACCTGGCCCAGAGCCCAGACCAGCCCGGCCCACCCAATGTTGTCTTTGTGCTAAATTGAACCAATTTTTTTGCTCCACCTCTTGTTTTTTTGCTATTGCGCTTTCATTTGCTTTTCCCTATGTATATAGCTTGTTTTTTTGCTATTTTTTCACAAAACATATTCTGTTTTTTGTTTTTATGTTGGAATTTTTTTTTGCAGTACTTTGCACGTCAAGTGAGTGAAAACTCAGCACCCGAGAATGCGATTTCTATCCTGAGTGTGAATGCGAATGCGCTTTCAAAGCTCGGCTGCTGTCTATTCATGCGTGCCACACATCTGGGTTTTAGGTTTCGGTTTTAGGTGGCAGGGTGCTGGCCCGGCCGTGTTGCAGGCTCTTTCACATCCTCCACACAAACACACACTCAGACACACGCATTATACCATCAAGCTTGTTAAGAATGAGCAGCTATGAGCCTGGCTCGTGAAATTGATATTGTTGTACTTTATGTTTATGTCGAATCATAATCGTTGGCTCTAATGCCCAGCCATGGCTAATTCGGAATTTAGGGCCAATTGGGATTAGATCTCAATGGATATATGATCGTTGTTTAAGTGTATGGAGATTCCTTTCAATTCATAAAATTATTCCTTCCTTGATTATGGCCTTGTTTTCTGTTCAGTTTGTTATTTTTTCCTTTTCCAGTTCTATTATTGATTTTAATAATTGTTTTATTAGCCTGCGGGTGTGTGGCTTTAATTGCATTTTAAAATACAAACATTTTTTTTATTTTTTCTTAAACTGAAGTGTTTATTGTCATGTACTTTCCTTAGAAACTTATCGAATATCATTGCTTGGATCATGTCTCACCGTCAAGTGTGCAACATTTCCTTGTTGAATTTTTTCCTGTGCATCCATACACCTCTCATTATGATTTTCTGTTTATCTGCAACTGAATATACACAAATAATATCGCATTGCCGGCACGAGCTCATCGCACTTGCCTTTCTCCAGCCCCGAAGCTGAAGTTGCAATTGCAAAGCCACTGCGGCTGAGCAGCATGCTGGGAAGTGGGTGTGCGTAAGGTGTCAGTGGCACCTACCACGACGACGTCTGTTACAAGTTGATACTCCTACATCTCCGGCCAAGACCCCGCCTGCGTCCCTGCCCCTCGTCACATCTCCTGTTGCCAACTTGAGCCCGAAGCTGGCAAGTGAGG